GTGTGTGTGTGTGTGTGTGTGTGTGTGTGTGTGTGTGTGTGTGTGTTCACTCTGCTCCTCTCAGATGTATCGACAGCGGCGAGCAGAGATGGAGAGCTCGACATGTTTCTTAGAAAAGGCAGGAGACGAGGAGCCATCACTCTTCCTCCTCCTCCTCCTCCTCCACGTGGCTCCTCTCCTGCGCTGAAGATGTAAGTGCCTTAGACAGATGTCTGCTGCCTCTTGTCTAAAACCCTCAACGCGAGCTGCTGAGCTCGGCAAACTCTAATTAAGATCAATATTTCAATTTTTAGTAAAAGCGCACGAGATGGAGAGGAGACAGCGGGAGAGAAATCATCTGTCCGCAGAGACACGGGAAGACAAAAAGAAAGGTCAACTGTGATCCTTCAGTGTGAGTGTGTGTGTTGCGTGTGTGTGTGTTGCATCTGTGTGTGTGTGTGTGTGAATACATGAGATCTCAGTGTTGTGCAAAAAAAGGTGAAAAGAAAATCTGTACGCAAAAACATCACCTGTTTGTGTTTAAACAATACAGAAAACAACAGAACCACTGAATTTAATCTGAGTCAAGAAGTTCAACTTTGTTTGTGTCGCCTCACCATCCAACCATCATCCCACCATCGTCCAACCATTATCCATCAGCCCAGCCATCATCCAACCATTTTCCAACCATCCACCCATCAAACCATTCATAAGTCAAACTATCAATCCATCCAACTATCATCATTATCCATCAACCCAGCCATCATCCAACCATTATCCAACCATTATCCATCAACCCAGCCATCATCCAGCCATTGTCCAACCATTATCCATCAACCCAGCCACCATCCAACCATTGTCCAACCATTATCCATCAACCCAGCCATCATCCAACCATTGTCCAACCATTATCCATCAACCCAGCCACCATCCAACCATTGTCCAACCATTATCCATCAACCCAGCCACATCCGACCATTGTCCAACCATTATCCATCAACCCAGCCACATCCGACCATTGTCCAACCATTATCCATCAACCCAACAATCATCCGACCATTATCCAACCATCCATCAATCCAGCCATCATCCAACTATTGTCCAATCATTACACATCAACCCAGCCATCATCCAACCATTGTCCAACCATTATCCATCAACTCAGCTATCATCCCTCCATCATCCAACCATTTTCCATCAACCCAGCCATCATCCAACCATCATTCAACAATATATCCATTGATCAAACCATCCATCAATCTAAACATTCATCCAACCATCATCCAACCACCCAGCTATCACCCAACCATCATTCAACCATACATCCATCCATCAAACCATCCATCAATCCAACCATTCATCCAAACATTATCCAACCATCCATCCATCAACTCAGCCATCAGGGATGTGTGGGTTTCTCTCCTGGACCTGTTGCTTCCATGACCTGACTATGGCCAAGCATCATCCAACCATCATCCATCCATCAATCTATCTATCATCCAACCATCATCCAAGCATCAATCTATCTATCATCCAACCATCATCCAAGCATCATCCACCCATCATCCAACAATTATCCATCAACCCAGCCATCATCCAACCATTATCCAACTATTATCCATCAACCCAGCCATCATCCAACTATCATCCATCCAACCATCATCATCCATCAATCTATCTATCATCCAACCATTATCCAACCATCATCCATCCATCAAACCATCCATCAATCTAACCATTCATCCATCCATCAAACCATCCATCAATCTAAACATTCATCTATTCATCCATCCATCAATCTAACCATTCATCCATCCATCCATCAAACTATCCATCAATCTAACCATTCATCAGTCAGTCAGTCCAACTATTAACCAATCCATCTAACCATTAAATATCCATCCATCTGACCATCCATCCACCCATCCATCCATCCATCCATCCATCCATCTATACATCCATCCATCCATCCATCTATACATCCATCCATCCATCCAATGAAAAATATTTTTCATGTCCCTCCTGCAAACACTGTAAAAACAAGGAAACCACATACAAACTCCACCAAACCCCAATCCAAGAGGGAGAGGGTGTCAGAAACATCCAGGAGGACCTGACCCAGGTGTGAGAAGGCCCAGCTGCTCTGTCTGATCATTAAGACTGCTCAGGAGACCTCTGGATGCTCTTTACTCTCTCTTGAAGAACTACATTGCTCCTGCCACTTCAGGAAACCACAATCATCTTTAATTACTCCTCACATCATGTGAGGCAGGAGGCACATGAATTTTAAACCAAAGACAAACATATTTATCTCATTATGTTTGTGCTTTTCAACTTTTTGTGTGCAGGTCGGTTGATCGGATCTGGTTTCATCAGATCTGTCTCTGGACAGAAACTGAGACCAAACCTTAAAAACTCAATAACCTTGTTGCGTTTGAGCAGATTAATCCTGATATTTCCCCTCTCAGCTTCTTTTTAAACCACTTTACAGCCTCCTAAACATTGTTGCACATGCGTACTTCTCTCATCCTGTTGCACAATTAAAGCTGATTCCTCTGCAGAAGCATTAACGTCTGTAACAAAACCCCCTCCTCGGGCCTGCGATAACCCTGAGCCACCTCCTGGAGCCGGGCTCTTTGGACGGGATGCGGGCCACCGATCCGCCACCTTGCTGATGTCCGTTTTGCTTTAGTCTGTAGAAGTGCACCTGCAGCGAAGTTCTAATATGCAAAAACACAATGGAAAAGCCTGACTTCAAACATTTCAGTCCTGAGCCCCTCCCCCCCATCCCTCCGCCGGCCACAGACCTCCCCTCCCTCTGACAATGAATGGACCACAGCAGATCTTCTTAATGCAGTATTTCTATACAGAATGCTTTGCTGGGAGTTTGATGACCAGCTAAAAAAAAAAAGCCTCTTTAATGATTTAAACGTGAAAAAAGCTTAATATGACTTCCATCTTTTTTTTCATCCCTGCCAGCAGATTTGAAGCAGATGGAGGGGGAGCAGCGGGAATATTTCATGGCTGCTTTGGAACGGAAGTTAAAGGGCACGTAATGTGATTTTTACACATTTTTACTTTTAAACTGTGTTAGGGTCATAACTCAGGTTAGTAATAGTCCTTTCCATGTCGGAGCGAGGCAGCTGAGCACGCAGGCGAAGTGATGACACGAGTAAAGGTTCCCCCAAACTCAGCAACGACTGGCAGAAACAAAACGACCATCGAAGAGCGAAGGCGGTGATGGAACCGTCTCCAGCTCTGTGACTCGTTTGGTTTGATTCACATCCTGGTTTTAACTCAAACACATCCTCTAACCTAACCTAACCTAACCTAANGAGTGATTGATAGATCTGCTGGTTTGTGGTGTCAGAGACCTTAAAGGAGATAAGTGGATAGAAGAAGCTGTTTTTGATTCAGTTCAAAGCACAAAGGGAGGTTTCATTGATTGGTTTATGTTTTAATCAAAATAATCAATTTATTTTGATTTTTGCTTCAGTTATCATATTTTTAAGTTATCTTTAGTTTTATACTTTTTCTTAAGTGTTTAACTTTGTGTTTTTTTCTGTTTCTGTATAATAGAAGCCTTAAAATCGCATTCTTTTCATTACTGCCTAAACCTGTTGTTTTCTGTCTGTTAGCAAAATATCTCATGAACCACTTGGTCAGTTTTATTGAAACTTCCAAGAAGGGATCATTGGACATACTTCTGCAACTGATAAAAATTTGGAGCCAGTCTGATCAAAGATGGCCGCCACAGCCAACTAAACCCAAACAACACAAAAATCGCAAAAACTCATCCAGTTCTGCATCTTTTGACCCAACGTTTGRTGTGGTAGTAGCTGAGAATGAGCCCTTACACATATCCAGAGCGCTAACAGGTTGTGGAAATACTTTCTTTAAATTCTGGCATTAAATTCCAGAGAATCAACTTGTCTGTTAGCAAAATATCTCACGAGCCAGTGGGAGGATTTTGATGATACCTACAGGAAATAATCTCTGGATGATCAACTACATCTGATTAGGTTTTGGAGATAATATGATAAAGTTTTTTCGCTTTTATTCTGTAAAAACTGTTTTTGTTTCGCTGGATAAAGCCCCCCACCTCCACCCCAGACCCCCGTGCAGTAGCCTCAGCTCGGTCACTAGAGGGGGGAATCAGCTGCACCTGTTCTCCCCGGCGCGCGCTCTCTTCGGCTCCGCTCGACTCTTSTCGGCCGGACCAAGTTGTTCCGGCTGCAGTCTCCTCCCATTGGCCCGCTGCACCTCGGTGTGGGAGGGATCGGAGGTGTGTGGGACTGGGGGGGATGGTGGTGGAGGAGTGGGGGGTCTTTATAAGTGGCTGCCTCCGCGCGCCGGGCTGTCACTGCGTGATTTCACTGAGAAGACTTCGGGAGGAGCTGGAGACAAAACAAAGTGGAATTTCTCACCTCCTGCGTAAAACTTTACACACAAGCAGCGCGTAAAGGTCAAAGGCGCGGAGAGAGGAGGAGGAGGAGGAGGCGCACAGGAGCGCGTGAGTGAGAAACATGGACTGAGCAGAGGAGCAGAGGAGCTCTCTGTGAGTACGATCTGAAAACTTCACCTGAAAACTCAGCCGAACTCTGAGAAACACCTGACTTTGGATCGCTGGGACTTTTGGCACAGCTTTACGCACGGCTGCGCGCGGCTCCCTTTTCCTCCAGCTCCCGCTGCGGAGACTTCACGGTCAAGTTGTGAGCTGGACATGAGTGATAAAACAAAAGGACAGTAAATCAGAGAGGAGAGGAGAGGTGAAGCGAGGACAGCGCAGGTTGGGGGGGCTCGAGTTTCTGCCGCTCCGGGGGCTGCTGCTGTCCCTGCGTCCATCTGACCCGACAGAGGTTGTCAACAAGAGCCGCGCGCAGAGGCGGACTGGCAGGTGGACGCGCTCGTGTCCATGCAGACGTATATTCACTCCACTATATATAGAAGTGGACCTTAATAAGTTCCTCCTCCCACCCAGCGAGCCTGCAGCAGCTCCGCGCACCGGGCGCGTGCCTATATATACACCGTCCGGGCTTTAATCCCCTCCGCAATCTGTATCCCAGAGGGCCGCCCGCCGTCGCTTTGGCTGTGAGGGCCGGAGTCGTCGCGTGGACTGACATGGCCACGGATCTCGCCATGAGCGCGGAGCTGCCCAACAGCCCTCTGGCCATCGAGTACGTCAACGACTTCGACCTGATGAAGTTCGAGGTGAAGAAGGAGCCGCTGGAGGCCGAGCGCTTCTGCCACCGCCTCCCGTCCGGCTCGCTGTCCTCCACCCCGATCAGCACGCCCTGCTCCTCCGTGCCTTCGTCGCCCAGCTTCTGCGCCCCGAGTCCCGGCGCGCAGCCCAACCCGGGCCTCCCCGGCGGCGCGGGCGGCGGCGGCGTGAACGGCGGCGGCGGCGGCAACGCGCACAGCGGCGCGGGGAAGCCTCAGCTGGAGGACCTGTACTGGATCCCCAGCTACCAGCACCACCTGAACCCCGAGGCGCTCAACCTGACCCCGGAGGACGCGGTGGAGGCCCTGATCGGCAACGCGCACCACCACCACCACCACCACCAGGCCTACGAGGGCTTCCGCGGCCAGCAGTACGTCGGGGAGGACCTGTCCGCGGCCTCGGCCGCGCACCACCACCAGGCCCACCACCATCACCACCACCACCACCACGCGCGCCTGGAGGACCGCTTCTCGGACGAGCAGCTGGTCAGCATGACGGTGCGCGAGCTGAACCGGCAGCTGCGCGGCTTCAGCAAGGAGGAGGTGATCCGCCTGAAGCAGAAGCGGCGCACGCTGAAGAACCGCGGCTACGCGCAGTCCTGCCGCTTCAAGCGCGTGCAGCAGCGGCACATGCTGGAGACGGAGAAGTGCACCCTGCAGAACCAGGTGGAGCAGCTGAAGCAGGACGTGGCGCGCCTGGCCAAGGAGCGGGACCTGTACAAGGAGAAGTACGAGAAGCTGGCCAGCCGGACCTACGCTGGACCCGCGAGCACCAGAGACCCGTCCGGGAAACAGGCCGAGTTCTTCATGTGAGGAGGAGCAGCCGAGCTCCCGCGCCTCCCTTCTCCCCCCCAGAACACTCTGCTGACGTGAACTGATATTTTTCTGCGGTTGTGTTTTTGTTTACATTTATTCCCTGAGAGTCAGACTCGGTGYGCGAATCTGTGAGTCTTAAAAAAAGATGTGAGAAACTTTTCGGATGTCCGCGAGGCAGTGGCGGTTCTAGCGGGGGTGGTCCGGAGGGTCCGACACCCTGTTTGCAGGTTCAGTTTTCTACATTTTTACACAAAGTCCGGAACTTTCGTCGCTTCAGAATTCTTCCCACGAGTTAAACAGAAAAGTGGTCTCCAGCAGGAAGTTAGGAGCTCAGGCAGGTCAGTTCTCATTCAGGTCCAACTTTTAGGCCCAGTTTTCTACATTTTTACACAAAGTCCAGAACTTCCATGGCTTCAGAATTCTTCCCACGACTTAAATTTACAAACGGTCTCCAGCAGGAGGTTTAGAAGCTCAATCAGGTCAGTTCTCATTCAGGTCCAACTTTTCCGGCCGAACTTCCGTCCGTCTCTAGATCCGCCACTGCCGGGACGGATCAGGTCTCCTGTCAGAAGTCTTACCGGACCCGTGACGGTCCGAACCCACAGGAAGTGACGTTTTGTGTGGCAGGAAACCGAATGTTTGTTTTTTTTAAAGACTGAACAAAAAGCMGCCTCTCCCAGCTGCAGACTGTTGGAGGAGGTGATGTGATGCAGAAACTTTCAGTAATGCAAGTGTAATAACACCCCCCATACCCCNCAAAGATTATTGACAAACGTGAGAAAAAATTGATAAACGTGAGCAAAGATTATTGACAAATGTGAGCAAACATTATTGATAAATGTGAGCAAAGATTATTGATAAATGTGAGCAAAGATTATTGATAAATGTGAGCAAAGATTATTGATAAACGTGAGCAAAAATTATTGATAAACGTGAGCAAAGATTATTGATAAACTTGAGCAAAAATGATTGATAAAAGTGAGCAATTATTATTGATAAACGTGAGCAAAATGATTGATAAACGTGAGCAATTATATTTGATAAATGAACAAAGATTATTGATAAATGTGAGCAATGATTATTGATAAACGTGAACAAAGGTTATTGATAAATTTGAGCGAAGATTATTGATAAATTTGAGCGAAGATTATTGATAAATTTGAGCAATGATTATTGATAAATGTGAACAAAGATTATTGATAAATGTGAGCAAAGATTATTGATAAACGTGAGCAAAGGTTATTGATAAATTTGAGCGAAGATTATTGATAAATGTGAGCAATGATTATTGATAAACGTGAGCAATGATTATTGATAAATGTGAGCAACGATTTTGATAAAAGTGAACAAAGATTATTGATAAACGTGAGCAAAGATTATTGATAAAAGTGAGCAAAGATTACTGATAATTATGAGTAATGTTGAGTCAATTTCTCTTAAACAGTTTTTAAAACTTGACTTCTTGGACACAACACTTTATGTTAACAGAACTTGATTTGGTTTTTATATTAACAAAATATCAATAGCTTAACCTAGTGTTATTATGGTTATTTTCTTAACATGGCTATGTTAGTTTAACTTGACATAGTAATTTTATAATTACCCAACTAATGTTGGGTGGTAAACCTCAGGATCAGGTCTGATAAAGTTATAATTATTAGGATACTTTTACACCAACCTCACTGTTTTGTAGCAGCTGAAGCTAAAAACTGTTAGTGGCCATTTATTTATTTAT